AATCTCCCTCTTCCAGGGATCTTTTCTGAATTCCTCCAGCCCCTACAGCTCTCCCACTCATTTTGGCATTAATCAATTGCTTATCACATAATATAGCTTATTTACCAAATAGCCCATGAGAATCTGCTCTGTGCCTGACATTATACTAACAAGTGAAGAAGGAACAGTGAACAGCAAAGGCACAGGTCCTACCCTTCAGGGCCTTATAGCAGAAGTGGAAAGAGGGCCATTGAGCAAGCACTGTGCTGGCCAGTCACTGTACTTTCTCTCCCAGAGCTGGCTCCTGGAAAGTTCAGAATGTGTCTTGCATTCCTTTGGGGTCTTTTAGGACTTAGCATGATCTATGTTCACAATAGTTTTGCAATAAGTAGAATCAGAGCAACTAACAATAGAAAACAAGTTATGAAAATGTTTGATTTCTTCTTGTTTTCCTTATGAGTCTGCATTTTTAGAGGTATGAGTTTGGAAAGAGCAAATACTGAGATGTCAGAGGGCCTGGGTTCAAATCTTGATTTTACCTGTTAGTAGCTGATTTTACCTGTTAGTACCTGTTAGTAGTTACTCTCTGAGCCTCATGAGCTTTTTTTGACTAATGGGGGCAAAGTTACTTTCTTTGAAGAGTTATTTTAAGAATTAATGAGGCTATTCATGTTAATATATTATAGGATCTAATACAAAGTAAGCCTGTAAATGTTAGTTTCCTTCTTGCAGACTTTGGATAAGAGGCAATGCAAGCTTTTCCCCAAAATAGAACTTCTACTCATTGGTGACAATGGGCATAGAAGGGAAGTATGAAATTTTAGGTCTAGAGGGGTGTTAGCCAAAATTCTTTATTTTCTTGGTGAGAAAGTTGAGGCCCAGATACCTTGGGGACTTTCCTTAGTGGTGTCAGTAGCCGGGCTGGGAAGAAAACCTGGGTCCCCTGAGTCCAGCATTCAGTGCATGGTGGGCAGTCTTTCCTAGAATGCACTGCTAGCCTCTCACTTGCAGAGAAGGGGGAAACTTCATGTTAAAGTACATGAGGTCACTGTCTAAGAATGAGCCTTCCTCAGAGATCAACTGGAGAGATTCCCAGGCCCTTTGCAGCTTCCTGAGAACTAGGCTGGGAAGCAGACTGGTGTGGAGAGCGGTGGCAGAGAATGGGAGAGCAGTGTCTGAGACTGGGGTCTCTGATAACTTCATGGCTGTGGCATGCTTGATGCCTTGAAAAGTTTCTGTGCAAAGGTGCAGGATGTCTAGCTGCTACAGTAATGCCCTTCATGTGGAAGCTCTGTGCTAGAAGTCTTATCAGCCTTGACCTTGAACTCAGGCACACAGCTCCTGGGAATAAAGAAACTCTTTTGCTAGACCACCACAATGTTTCACCAGCTCTGCTGCTCCTGAAACTGCCCACATAAGAGTAACTTCAAACAATGGACTTTCTTGAGAGCTACACAAAGCTCCTAACATTGCACATTGCAACTATAGAATGTAACTGAGGAATAAACTGCATAATATTGCTAACTCTGTAACTTTCGTGAATACAAAGAATAATGCTTGCATAGTCTTTAATCTGATTAATGAAACAAATATGAATAAATATTGCTGGCATAATTCTTTAGACCTGCCTTATCCATTTGAGAGCAGCGCTCTACCGAATCCCAGCTGTTATCTTAAAAATCTGCTTATGTGAGTCTTTATTTTTTTAATTTCCCATAGTCTCTCACTAGAATCTGCTGGTTTGGCTGTGCTGGTCACAGCAGACTGCTCTCCCTGCCACCTTCCATTCTAGACCAGGCCAAGCTAGGCGGCAATGAATGACTTTCAGATGATGGGTGTGGGGGGTGCTGTCTCTGCGGGGTAGAGCAGGCCTCTTCCTCCCCCTCCATAGAGACAGACCCTGGTGGGACACAGAGGGAGTAAGTAGGGACCTGGTCAGAAAGGGGAATAGGCCTAGTCTAGGATCAATTATCTTAACATCACTCAACACTTCCAGACTCCTAGAATACGGAGTTCTGCCTTCAGAACCTCAACTTCTCTTACTCATAGTAAAATACTAATGACAATATTCCAGATATAGTTAAGGACTGCCCATACATTATCTTTGCCTGAACACTCACAACCTGCTTTTGAGAGACAGGATAAAGTGGTAGCTAAGGGGCATGGTCTTTGGGTAAGCTTTGCAGATTCAATCTGTCCTCTCACATGGGTAACTTTGAGCAAACTGTTTAAACTTTCTTGTGCTTTGATTTTCTTAACTGAAAAATGGTAATAATGATAGTAACTACTTCATAGTTTGTCCTAAGGACTAAGTGAGCTAATACATTCCAAGCACTTATAAGAGGCTGGGTGCACAGCAAGCTCTGTGTACATAGATTGCTATAATCTGATTGTCATCTTCTTAGGGGTCTTCTCTTAATAATTTTATCTTAAGAGTATCCCTTGGGTTGGGGATGTGGCTCAGTAGAGCACTTGCCTAGTATGTATGAGGCCCTGGGTTCAATTAGAAAATAAAAAATCCACCTTTAGTCACTCACTATCATTAGATTATTTTCAAAGTACTTAGAATTGGGGATCTTCTCCTCCTAACTTGTTTATTGTCTGTTTGCTTCCATTAACATTTAAGTTCCATAGGAAGGAACTAGAGAATATCATGCTAAGTGAAATAAGCCAGTCCCCAAAAACTAAAGGCTGAATGTTTTCTCTGATAAGTGGATGCTTATCCATAAGGGGGTGAGGGGGCATGGAAGAATAAAGGAATTTTGGATTGAACAGAGGGGAGTGAGGGTAGGGTAGGGGCTGTGGGAATGGGAAGGACAGTGGAATGAGACAGACATTAATACCCTATATACATGTATGATTATACTACTGGTGTGACTGCATCATGGACAGCCAGAGGAATGAGAAGTTGTGCTCCATTTGTGTACAATGTGTCAAAATTCATCCTACTGTCATATTTAACTAATTAGAACAAATTCAAAAATTAAAAAAATATATATTTAAGTTTCATAGAAGCTGGGCCTGTTGAATTGAGTTGAATTATTTCATTGGATCTTCCCAAATCCTATGAATCAGATACTCAGGTTATTCCCATTTTATAGAGGCACCAAGTTTCCTTTGTTTGCTCAAGGTCATCTGTCCTGGACTCAAACCTGATTTGATTCAAGAGCCCTTGCTCTTAAATACTCTGGTGGATTGGCTCCTCTTACTCAAAGTTCTTAGCAAGTTAAGTAGGAAGGATGCCATGTCTTGTCAACTTTCTCCTCTATGGTTGGGGCACAAGTTTGGGCTGTAAAGTTGGAAAAAGAGACAGTGTTGGGGCCTCCATTTCTCTCCACAGAGCCCAGTGGGTCCTCACACTCTCCTTTCCCACCTGGCCCTAAAGCCTTGCCATCCACTTATCCTAATCCTCATCCTCATCTTCTCCATTCCCAGTCCTATCGTTGTGCTGTTTCTTCTCCATCTCATTCTCATCCCTATCCCTATGAGGCAGGGTTGAGTCGGGCTTTATCCCAGGGCCTGAGACCAACATCTGTAGAGAATGTTTGCTTCCTTTTACACTATTACTATAATATGTTCTGTGAGTCATCCTCCCCATAGCTTCTTTCTTTGGACATTTTTTTGGGGGCGGAGGGACAGGGGATTGAACTCAAGGGCACTTAACCACTGAGCCACATCTCCAGCCCTCTTTTTGTTTAGAGACAGGGTCTCACTGAGTTGCTTAGGGCCTTGCTAAATTTCTGATACTGGCTTTGAACTTTCAATCCTCCTGCCTCAGCCTCCTGAGCTGCTGGGACTACAGGCATGAGCCACTGTGCCTAGCTTTCTGGACATTTTTTCAGACCACCTTGTTTACATATTTTCCAGAGTATAACTTCTTCTCCCCACATGTTTACACAGTTAATAACTTTGTTTTCTCAACCCAAGTGTGAATTGCCTGATGGTTACCTGATCCTGGGCCTTCCTGACTGACCAAGGAGAATCTGTCTCAGGCTCCAGAAAGGATGGGACCTGTTTAGGATTCTGGCAAACAGACAGACTGAAAAGACTTCTATCATCTCTTTAAGGCCTTAACTTTAATCCTGCTCATTTGGTGGCTCTCTGGGAATCAGCATGGTGTTATATAGTACATCCAGGTTGTGAATAGACACTTTGGGCTAATATCTAAAGCCTGGCTGGGAATGGAGCCAGGACTGAAGTCAGGCAGTCTAAGTGCTACCGGAGGCTATTCAAGATCATGGTGGCATGTCCCTCTGTCCAGCTAGATATGCACTTGACATTGCCTAGAGTCAGGGCAAAAGTTGACTAGAGATTCATTCATCAGTGATCACTTCCCCTAACATGGAAGGGAGAACAGGGCTGAGGACAGAGTGTTATAGATTATGGATTATGTTAACATGACAGCCATGTTAGCACCATTCTCCAGTCTGGTAAGGACAAGTGAATTAGGATGGGACAGATAAATATTTTGAACAGTTTTTAGAAAGGCATGGGAGGACACTGATAGGTAAGATCTGGGAATAAAGTTACTGGTGTATACTTGGTGAGGGGCAGGAAGGCTGGAGGCTGGGAGGCATGATGCTGTTCATAAATGGATGGACTAGTAATCATCATACGTTGTAATTAATATATTCCTACACTTTTTCTCATCAATATAATTGTTTGGGACTATTGCTATCTGACTCCCCAATACCCTTCCAGACATTTGAATAAATGAAGAAAAAGGGAAATTAAGGGATTTTTCCCTCTGAAACATTTACAGATAAAATTGGCACTAAAATCCTAGGTCTCTTGGGTCATGATCTGTTGTTTATTCAGCTTTGTCAGAGAGATACTTTTAATATAGAGGGATAGGAACCAGAGACATCTGACCTCTGAATAAATTCAATGAGGAGAAGAACCTGATAGGTTTGTGGAGATGGCCTGATTACAAATAATACTGTCTAGAGAACTCCATGACTCACCAATTCCACTCCTAGATATATCCCAAGAGAAATGAGTGCATCATTTTCACCAAAAGATAAGTATAAGAAGATTCATAGCAGCTTTATTTATCATCACCCAAATACAGAAACAATTCAGGGTTTATCATCAGAAGAATGGATAAACAAACTGTGGTACATCTCTCTAATGGAATACTACCCAGCAATAAAAAGGATCAAACTACTGATACAGCAGCATGAATGAATCACAAAGGCATCGTGGTGAATGAAAGAGAACAGTCTTAAAAGAGTACATTCAGCATGACCCAAACAAAGTGACAGAAATCACATTATAATTAGAGTTATCTGGTCACCTAACTCTTCTGGAATTGGGAAATGATAGAAAGTCTTAGATATGTGGCAGAGAGGCTAGACTCCCTTGGTCCCAGAGCTCAGGAATCACTCCCATAGCTCAAAGGGGCCTGCCAAGGGGTTAGGGCAACCAGCATCACTGACTTTGCAAACATCAGGGCTGATGAGGCATCTTTGTTCCCTGGTGTTCTAAAGGCTCCTGACCCTCTAGGAGTGAGACACGTGGGGGAGGGGTTGCACTTTGGAGCTGGAGGGGAAAGGCCTATGCTGAGCTGAGGCAGTCGGGCTGTTCAGGCTCTCAAGCATCACAGCTTCTGAGTTGAGCTCTGGGAAAATTCTCACTCAGAGGTACACCCACCTTCTCTTCCTTCAAAATGGTTTGGCCAAGAAAATACCAAAGCAATAGAGAAATGGGATCTATCAGAGGTAAATGATTTTGTATCTTTTCACCTCCATAGTTGTCACAAGCAGAGGCTGTCCCCTTCCAACTTTGCTTTCACATGCTGCCATGGCTTGAGCTGGAGGTGTGGGTGGGAGGCTTCTCTAACTTCTCAGAACAGAGGACAGATGGGGCATTGAGGGGTGGGTTCTTCTAGCTCTCTGGGTAAGGCCTGGAGTGGATTCTGTGAGAGAAGTTGCCAGCAGGGTTGGGGAACTGAGGTCCAGAGAGGGAGAGCAGGATACTGGAAGCAGGAACCAGGGAGGTGGGCTTAGAAGTTCTCATAGTGGTGCATGAAGTGGGCTCGGTCCTGCCTGTTGACCAGCTGACAGGCCTTCTCTACATTCTTGGTCATGCCAGGAGGGCCACAGCTAAACACCCCAATCTTGCGCACCTGTTAGGCAATTAGAAAGAGAAGGAGAGGCCTGGAGCCTTGTGATGCTCACTCTTTGAGGAAGAAACTTCTCCAGCTTAGCCAGAATGACCTGAGTTCTACCCCAGGCCCTGAGGAGGAGGCTTGAGCTGTGGGGGAAATCCTCCTCTAACACTTTACCCCATCCTGGGGTCCAGTGGAATTCTCTATTCAGGATAGAGCTGCAGGATGCTTCAGGGCCAAGACGACCAGAGTCCCAGAGAAGGAGGGGTCAGACCAACCTGTGGGTGGACCTCTTGCAGGGAGTTGAAGAAGGGCTCAAAGGGGGGGCGGCCAAAGTGGGTGACAGAGCGCAGGCCCGTGAACAGACTCCGATTCAGCACCTTCTGGAAGTGTCGCTCACAGATGTACTGAGGAGGGAGGGATGGAGGAAGGTCACAGCCAGGCACACCAGGGTCAACTCTTAGCCCAAATGGTGGCTCACCTGGTCTGCCTGGCTGGCCCTGACCTTACCAACATGGTGGTCCTGAGGTCAAACTTCTCAGCCAGCTGGGTGATGTAGATGTGCACAGACACCAGGTCCTGGCAGTCATTCTCCTCTACCTCCCTGATGATGTCAGCCAGCCACTCGAACTGCCGCTGGGTCCGTGTCACCCAGATGAAGTAGATCTGGGGGCACAAGCCAGAGCTCAGGACCAGCTCAGCTCAGGCTCCCTGCATCCCTGGGACCTTCACCTGAGAGGCTGGGAAGCCTCAGACTGCCCACATACAAGAAAGCTCTGATCCCAGCCAGGCTTCTGAGGATCTGCTGGGGACAGATCCTTCTGGCTATCCCCCTACCTTCCCTCAGTTAGCAGCTGGAAAATTGGGTATGAACGCTTTTAGACTTGCACCTAAAAGCCAGGGCCTTTCCCTCATGCTCTTCTGCTGAGACTCTGGAACACAATCAGGATGCCTGTTCCCCATTTGAAGAATGGGAGAGGGACGCTCACCTTTTTACAGAGCATTTGGTTGCCCAAGGCTGATTTAAAGATCAGGTCTTTGAGGATGGAGGCAAAGGGGGTGACCCCAATGCCCCCTCCTACTAGTACTGACACCTCAAACTTATGCCACTCCTGGTGGCCCTCTCCGAATGGTCCATCCAGGTACAGCTGTCAAGAGAAGAGGAAGATGAGATGAGCCCAGCCACTCTCCAGCTCTGAGACCAGAAACAGATGGTGGAGGAAGCAGAAGAAGGATGGGGACAGAGCACCTAGTGTCTTCTGGGACACCCCAGCCCCCTCCCAACCCAACCTTCAAGTGTCTAGAGTACCTATTCTCAGGATAGGGAAGGCAAGGACCTTCTACTGATGGCAAAGGCCTCAAAGTGGGGTTCCCAGTGATGGGTACCTTTGGGTATCTGGCACAGCCTTGGCTTGTCAGGGGTGAGTAGATCTCCCTGAGGCGAGTAGTCCAGGGCCCCACAGCCCGAATGTGCAGGCTGAGTGTGTCCTCATGGGGCGCAGAGGTCAGCGTGAATGGGTGGTATTCATTGGTCCCCAGAGCCAGGCAAGCAATGCGCACCCACTGCCCTGACTTGTACTCAAAGTCCTGGGGCCGCTCAAACTGCAAATGGGTCACTCCTGGAAGTCATGGGCAAGAAAAGGCATAGATGATAAGGCCTGCTCCTAGTACCTGAGGACTGACAGGTATCTGTTCTCTACATGCTCCTAGGCCCAGGGAGTGTTACATGGTCACATGATCTGGGCGAATGGGTTCTTGTGTCTGAGAGTAGGAAGATTCCCTTTTCTGTTTTCTGGTTAACATAAGAGTTGGGCTTCTCTGCTCCCTTGTTCCAGCCCCTCTCTTCCTCTCACTGCCCTCTCCCTGCAAAGGCCCAGGCCCTGAATTCTAGCTGGTGGAGTGGAGGGACCTTAGGCTCTCCAGGGACCATCTCAGTGTTTATCATACCTCCTCCATTTGAGGGTAACCACTGTGATGAGTCCTGTCTGCGTGCCTGCTACGTATCATTTATCTAATGTTTTTCTTTAAATTGACTTATTTTTCAATCCAATTTATCTTGACGAGAAACTTTATCACTAAGGTAAGGTGCTGAGTAGAAAGCCACGTGTTTTATTACCAAATCTCAGCTGGGTACTGTTTGTTGCCTGGCTACAGTTGAGTCTCAGGTCTGATAAATCTTTATTGAAAAAGGAAGCTAGCAAATACTGAAGCATATCAAAGGCATACCTACACCACTTCCAGACTTGGTCCTAAAATAATCTTGATTGAAATGAGATTAATTTTCTTGCAGTATGAGTCTTGAAGGTTAGACAACCTGGGACACCTAATATCATCATCCACCACCCTCCACGGTAATATGAATCCTCACTTAGGCTAACCCTGACCCTCAATAACAGGCTGGCAATCAGGGCCATTTGGCTGTCTCTGAAGGTGCTGTTCTAAGAGGACATATGGTTCCCTGCCCTGTACTTCTGCACCCAGGCCACACATGTGGGGGTTATTCTCATTCTTAAACCCCTCTGCTTCTCTTTCAGGCATCTTTTCCCATAGTCACTTCTCATTGTCTGCAAGTCTCTTTTGGAGATAAGCACAGCCCTTTCTGAGGCTGCATTTCTATCAGGAAAGCTTCAGGAATCCCAAAGTGGGTATCAGAAATGATGATGGGGATCAGAAGGACTAGTGTGCTTCTCCTGTATTGGGGAGCTGGAGTCAAGCTGGGCTGGTACCTGAAGGCAGCAGTTCCACTTTCACCACGCTGATCTCCACCTTCTTCCGGCTCAGGCTCACCAGCTTGTCTCCCCCATAGATAATTGCTGGGACCAGGAAGTAGATGTGGAAACTGGGCAGCTGGATCAGAGCGTAGCTGCCATGGATGATGAGCTGCAGACAGGGCCAGTTAGTATACCTCAAGCCTAGTCAGGTCCCCACCCTGCACCCCGCCTCTTGCCCGGTTACTTCCCTCCCAGGCACCAGGGTAGATGGGGCTGCAAATACTTGAGTCTGGGTTTCAGATCTCAGGGTCTCAGTCTGAGATCTTGGATCTAATTTCCCAGCTCCATCCTTTACTGCCACTCCCATCCTGAGTACTCTCCTCCATGCCTGTTGCTGCCCAGAGAATCCCTCACCAGGGCATAAAGCAGGACATAAAGGTGGTGGGTCAGCCAGAAGCCGCGGAAGCTGCGGTGGCGGAAGTGGTGAGAAGCGAAGACATACATGATGGCCAGGATCAGGAGCAGGAGGACCCCTGTCATACCTGAGAACAAGAAGACAAGTTCAGTGACTAGTCAGTATCTCAGCCTGGGCTGAAAATAGACACAGAATATTCCCCATTCTGCCCTCCTTCCTCTCTCATCCTTAGAATGGCCTGCCTGGAGAGGCTAGAGCCGGGGCTTGTGCAGCAGGCTAGAAAATGAACCAGTGGCCAGTAAAGACCCATGTGTATATAAGGAAATGGAGGCAAAAGTAGAAGCCCTCAGACAGAATCCCCAGATCCCATATAGAGCCCCAGTCCCTACCTGGAACTGTCTCAAAGAACCACCAGTAGTACTTCTGAGGAAGCTTAGACCTGTGGGGCAAAGACACATTGAGCCTCTGAGATACACTGAGGCAGGAGGGGCTCCACCGCTGTCATACACAGTCTAACTGTTCCTGCTGGCCCTGACTGCTGAGGTTACTAGGCCTCCACCTAGATGACAATTAGTATATCTCAAGCGATTCTTCCAAGGAACATGGCACCCAGCCTCCCCCAGTTCTACCCTTTGCACGCTCAGCAAATTTTCCTCCCATGTTATCCTAAATTCTCTTACTGCAGTTGATTCTTGTTTCCTTGAGTGCTCGGTTCATTATTTTGTATCCATAAAGACAGAGATTTATGTTTTTGTTTTTGTTTTAAATTTTGTTAGTTGCCAGTGGATTTTTTACTTTATTTCTTTACTTATATGTGGTGGTAAGGATCGAACCCAGGGCCTCACACATGCCAGGCAAGCGCTCAACCACTGAGCCACAACCCCAGCCCCTAGATTTATGTTTTGTTCACCACTCTATCCCTAGGTTTACAGCTATACCAGGCACACAGTAAATTCTCAGTAAGTATGTGTAGAATGATTACATGTATCTTAACATCCCTACTCTTTGGCACCTGGCTGGATACCCAGGACATGGTCCATAAATGTTTGCCCAATGAATAGATGGTAAGCGGAAATGGCAAGCTGTGTGTCAAGTACATGCACAAAGAGTATCCAATCATCTTCTAAACATCTTTCCTGGCCAATCATAGTCAGCTTCCTTAAGGCAAGGAAATCACCTTTCAGTTTCCCTCAGTGGGATAACTTTGCATCTTCACTCAGTGAGAATCTGAGGATCTTTGGCTATCTCTTTTCTATTACACCTTCCAGCCCACCCAGGAGACCCAGGGAGCACCTTCCCCAGAACTGACCCATCATTCACAAAGACGTTGGGGAATACACAGGCCATCAGGCTGAGAGGGCTGATTGAGAAGATGTAGATATTGACCGCGTGGCCAGCACTGTGCAAAACTGAAAAAGACAATATCAGAGAGAGATGCCAGCCAGGGCTGACTCTACCTTTAGTCCAGAGTGGGAGAGACAGCACCAGAGGAGAGAGAGAGGTATAAAGAGCTCCAGCCTTCTCACTGTTTCCCCCCAAACTAGACCTATGGGGATGAAACAAAGGGGAGAAGGCCAGGAGCCACATACTGGCCAGGATAACAGCACCCATGGCAATCCAACGATGGAAGTCCACAGCAGCATCAAAGGGCACGTATCGATTGAGGAAGGTCTCTCTCAGGAAGGTGATGAGGTTGCGACACATAGTTAGCAGTATGTAGGAATACATGAAGGAGATGCTGGCTGCTGTTCCTCGTGACAGGATGATGCCCACATAGGTGGTCTCTTCAATGTCCGTGGGTGGTGAGGCAAAGGCATAGTCTGGGGCCAGAGATGGGTAGATCAGCATGGCCCAAGATGCATGGTCATGAGCCCAAGTCAGAACACTTGGCCTCTTCCATCCAGGCACTGAGGACCAGGAAGAACAACCAGAGGGCTCTCCATTCCTCCCTGAGGGGCAGGGCCTGCTCCCTGCCCACTGCCCACAGCCTGAAGCTCTTACAGTAGGCACGCTCTGCAAACAGGCCCACACAGATGGCTGAGAAAACTGTGATGCAAACAATATGGCGCCGATAGTTCTCCACAAAGCGCTTGAATTGCTGCAGCTTCTGGGCCAGGAGGCCTCGTGGCATCTTCTCCTGTAGTGCCTCTGTGTACAGCTGGGGAGAGGACCCCACCACCCTGTACCGGTGGGAGGCAGGGTGCTGGTGAGAGAGGAGTACCCTGGCCTTCCCTCAGTGCCTATGAGAACCAGGGTCAGGATGGACAAAGGAAGAAAGGCAGCCTCCCACTCCCCCAACTCTACTTCCATCTTCACTTGCTCTATCCATCCCCTCTTCTGTTTCTCCATAACTCTACCTCTTCTTCCTTCTCCTCTTTCTTTTGTCCTTCCCCTGTCCTGCTCCCTATACAGGCCCACCACTGTGCCCAAGGAGTCAGGAGTCAGGTGACCCCTTACTACCATCTTGGTGTTGCTTCTGAGCCAGGGCCCTTGCCTGAAGAACGGGTATAGAGATTGACACTCTAGCCCCAGTCATCTAGTGGGATAAGTGGAATGAGCCTCAGAATGATCCCTTTTAGTCAAGGAGATGTGGGCAGGACCCAGAGGCCCTGAGACTTCTCTTCATGTCTTTTTGGCCCCAGAGATCCAGAAAACACTCACTTTTTGCCAAACCTCTTCTTTATCCCAGAGCCTCCCAACTCTGGAGCTTCTGAAGCAGGGAGTCCCGGTTCCTGGGAGCAGGAGCTGAAAAAAAGAAAATGGAGCCTGTGTCTTAATACCCAGGAGAAGAAACTGTCAGTTCAAAGCTTGGGGCAGAGGCAAACCAGGGAGCAAGGGGAGAATGACTATAGTCTTCTCATCTGTTCTGTAGGATGACTCCAGCCTGGAGTGGCAGGAAGAGAGACAAAGTCCTGAGCAGTATGGGGTGTGGGAGGAAGCTGTAATTTGGGCTGAAGCTGACCATGGTGATAAGAACTACTTTCAGAGGGCAAATATCTGACCCTGGGGATTGATTGGCCAGCCCTACTTCCTTCATTCTCTGCAGGAGACCTAGTTAAGGAGACCTCCCTGTTCCTTATTCCTGTTTACCATTTCCTAGGATTCCGAGTGATGAATGAGACTCGACAGTTGATGTTTTGTTTAAAGATATCTCCAACACCTGGAAAGGAGAACAGAGGCTGGACTGGGTTTCCCATGAGGGCAGTGGGGTGATGGAGGGTGGAAGACTGACCTCTCCTCCCCATCCCTCTGCAAAGGCTACCAAGGCACTTGCTGGTGACTTAGTCATATCTGACCCTGCTCTGCTCTCTTTCCACATAAAGCACCCGCAGTACATTGGGAAGACAATGTGGCAACTTTGTGCTATCAGAAAAAGAGGGAGCCTCTGGGCAGATGCAATCCTGTATGTCCTTTGTGTAAAAAAAAAAAAAAATAGTGCTTCCTTCACTGGCCAGATACACCTCAGGTCAATGCCTGTGGCTTTAGCAGTGTGTTGCTGGATTTCAGTTGCCCCTTGGCCTCAGTAAGCATCTTCATGCAGTATACAACTTGTATATCCATATATGATGCCCTGAATACATGTGCCTGGCTCAGAAGGCACCAAGGACTCAGAAGAATAAGACCTAGGTACTGTCCACCATGAGTTCTTATTTTGAAGACTGCCATTTCCTAACTCCAACAATTCCTTACACACTCACATACCTCCACCTCCACCTTTGACACAGAGCTGTGTGAAGCGAAGCTCATTGTCATGGTCCCGAAGCATGAAGTGAAAGTCTTCCCATGTTAGCTCCTCCTTGTCCTGGAAGCCAGACTCTCGAAACATGGACTCCACCACCTCAGCCAGCTGTGCCTTGGACAGGCAGTTGTTGGAGATCTCAATGAAGGACCTGTGGAGGACCAGAGACAGAGGTCAGTCCAATGAGGTCAGACTTGGACAGGTGCAGGGTGAGGCAGCTCAAGATTACCTAAGGTGTACTACAAGTGACCTGGGAAATGGCCCTGAGAAGATGCTCATCTGGCCTGAAATTGACACTAATGTGGTTAGGGTGTTCAAAATATAGAACAGAATTGAAAGTGACCTTGACTAGTAAGAAAAAGCAGCCTTTGAACCAGAGGGCATCTACCACTGGGAATAAATATCCACTTAGTGCGTGGACATATCCATTGTGTGCCACAGCCCTGTCTCATGATGAGCTTTCTGCCACTTCCCATAGCTACCCCTGGGCTCCCACTTTGACGTTCCAGTGAAGGCACCAGACAGTAGGGTGGGGAGATATAGCTGTGATGGCTACTGCTTCCTAGGGCAACACTCTAGGGCACAGGCAGGTGTGTCTCCACACCTAATCTGACAGCACCCAAGTGGTAGCTACAGTGGCCAAACTCTTTCCTTAGGTTGTGCTTTGGGACAAAAACCAACCAGGCGAGAATGTGCAAATCCACCAGAAAAAGACCTGGGCTACATGGCAAGAACTGCCATCACATTAAAAAGCATCATCTCACTGAGGCTCAGCAAGAACCATACTGAGTTACAGGGCAAGAAAGTGGGAACTCAGCCCTCGGTGATCAGGGCCTTCTCCTGCATTCCTAGGAGCTGTGTGAAGCACTGAGGGCTGGGCTGGCAATGACACACAAGGGAGGTACAGACTGAAATTAGCTTTGAGAAGCCTACATCTAGTTGGGGTATCTGGAATTTGGCAGGTAAGGGGCATGCTTAAAGAAAGAAAAGAGTGAAAGAGAATAGAATTGTTACAAGATCTGCCAGGCACAGTGGCACATGCCTGTAATCCCAGCGGCTCGAGAAGCTGAGGCAGGAGGATTGTGAGTTCAAAGCCAGCCTCAGTAATGGCGAGGCACTAACAACTCAGTGAGACCCTGTCTCTAAAGAAAATAAAATACAAACTAGGGCTGACAATGTGGCTTAGTGGTCGAGTGCCCTGTGTTCAATCCCCAGAAACCAGCCCCCCTGCAAAAACAAAACAAAACAAAAGAATTATTACAAGAATCTAGGCTGCTGTATTTATGCTATTTATTCATTTACTTATTTCACTTTGTCTTATTTAGTTAACCATGTGTGGAATGCTTGCTATGTGTCAATCTCTGTGTGGAGGAAGCCTATTCAACAAGGAACACAGAGAGATGAGTCTCACCCTATGGCAAGGTATTATCTTCAGAAATGAGAAATCGATGATACTCAAAGCTGGTCTTTATCAACACACCAAAACCAGAAATGGCTTAAGAAACAGGAAGAAAGAAGGGTTCAAATATAGAGGAACTTTCCTATTGTTTCTTCTCCTATTGTGGTGATTGATATTAGAGAGTGACCAAGGTCATCCTTGCATTATTTCGTTGTGTAAAGCAGTTTTGGTTATGTGGTAAAAGAGTTTACAGAGACCCAAAGGCATCTAAAGGGATTAAATAGTCTTCTGTTGTTGTTCATATTGGTATTAGTTGTTTTTTTTTTTTTTGGCTTGTTTATTTGCATGTCGTTTAAAAGTAGGGAGACTTTCCTGGCTGCTGTTGACAGTGCAGGTATAGACCCTGCTTGAGGCAGGTAAACCTTTGAAGCCGGGTGTTCTAAGAATCTAGCATGCAGTGTCCAGGTCACCTTTCAACATAGATGGCCAGCTAGCTGCCTCTCCTGCCCTCCTCTGACCTGACCTGTTTTTCTGTTTAAAATGTCCAGGACGTCTCAGGATTGGAAGGGCCCACCTCGTACCGCATCATGGTGAAGAATTCATCCTTGGAGAGGAAGCCATTCCCATCCAGATCATACATGGTGAACATCAGGCGGGATTTATCTTCCGGGGAGCCTGGGGGAGACAGGGAGATGCAAACCACCTCCCCATGTAGAGACCTTCGATAACTCAGATGGCCTTCTGTCCCTGGCCTCCTACCTTTCATGAAGACCACCAGGATGTCCAGGAACTCCCGGAAGGACAGGTAGCCATTACCATCCTTGTCAGCCAGAGAGAACATGGACTCCACAAACATGTCCTGGGGCTTGAGGCCCAGGGACTCGGCAAACTCAGCCCTGCTCAGCTCACAGGTCAGGGCCTGCCGCACCTTCTGGGATGAGTCCAGGGGCAGGGTCCCTGCATCTGCCTGGTTGATGTCCAGCACCTGCACTTGGGCAACAGCAGAGGAAGGGAGAGAAGGGCATAAGGCCTGGACTGGAAGCAGTTCAGTGACTGTTCACATTTCCCCAGGGTACATTTCAGAAAGGCTGAGCCTAGATGCTTAGATATATTGACTTGAGCCTCTGCTCTCCTATGGTGGGGGTGAGGACTGAATCTCTAGCATCCTGCCCACTTCTCCCTGGAATCAAGCACCATATGATGAGGGTGGTGATGACAGAAGGAAAGTGGAGAGCAGGGGTGAGTGGTAAAGTTGGGAAATGGAAACTGAAAGAGCCTATGCTGGGGACAGATGTTAATCACAGACAGGGTGAACAGGCAGGAAGAGACTGGGGCTATGCTTTCATGCCAGTTCAGATAGGGCTGCCATGTACCTATGATTTTGTCTCTGCCCATGTGCAAAGAGTTTAAAAGTTACATGTAACTTCCATTTTTTTAAACACCTATGACTTACCAAGCACATCAGCTAAGCACTACATATAGAACAGTGTTTTCCAAAATTGAGCTAGCCCAAGGATCAGGAGAGCTTATTAAAACACAGACTGCTGGGTCCCACCCCCAGAGTGCTTCCTTCAGTTTCTTTGGAGAGGGGCCTGAGAATTTTCATTTCTAACAAGTTCCCAGGTGAGGTTGATGCTGCCGGTCCAGGGGCCAACCTCTGAGAGCATGCCATGTAAACTATTTCACTGGATCCTCACAACACCACCAGAGTGGGATGGATACAATTTTAATCACTCTTTCAGAGGTGAAGAAGTAGAGATACAGATCTAAAATAATGTAACTTGTCTATGATCATGTAGCATGTAAGCAGCTCAGCTGAGATCCAAACAAGGATGTCTGTCTCCAGCCCAAAGAGTGGAAGCTAGTCCACTCAAGTGGGGTCCTATCCAGCCTAGGTTGGCCCCATCCCCTGGTCTGGGCCCATCTCCAAAGGCACAAGGCATGGCACCTGAGCAAAAAGGTGTCTGAAGAAGATCTCCAGGATACGCCCACGCTGCTGCTTGGTCACAGCCTTCCTGAACAGCTCACTCTCTCCCATCTCAGCCACGTGGAGGTCCAGAGCCCAGAACATACAGAGGCCTTGCAGTTGCTGCACAAAGACACCCCGCTCCTCTTCACTGGTAAATAGCAGCACCTGGGTGAAAGAAAGACCCTGCCACACTTGGGAGTTCAAGTTTCCTGTCCAGCCTCTCCTTGAAGGACACCGGGTTGAAGGAAGGAGAGAAAAGCTCTTCCCGGTCTATCTGGGCTGAACCAAGTGAATGGCCTAAGGGGTAAAGTTGAGTCTGGGGCCTCTGAAAGGAGTCCCTGTTCCCAGCATAGCCCTTTACAGGTGATCTCTGTAGTTGAGGATGAGGTGGCCTGAGAGGACTTGCTTATGAGAGGAGAGATGTGCAAAAGCAGCCCAGGTCAGGGAGGCAGGACAAGCTGTACCAGGTCATACTCCTTGGGGATCTTGAGCAGCAGAGTGCGGCACCCACGGTTGCTGGACAGGATGAGGTTGACTTGCTGCAAGGGCTGCAGCTGGATGGTGCGGAGCACAGTGAGACGTCTGTCAAGGACCTGTAGGCACCTGTCTGGAAGCAGCTGGATGGTGATGGGACAGCTCTTCTCCTTGGGGCCTGGCCACTCCATTGCTAGGGAAGGGATGATTTGGCAGTAATTAAGCAGACATCCTTAGGCCTATACTGCTCTACAAATCTGAGCAGATACCCTAAAGCCTGTTTTTTTGCCCCACTTTGTAACTTGGTTCTTTGTCTCAGGCCTCCCATCCTCCCATCTTCCTTTATTTCCTTCAGCCTCATCTCACCTGTCACTCCATCTTTGACTGCTTCTATCTCCACACTCTCTTTGCCTTTCTTTTGTAGTTTCTTGCGCTCTTGGTTCCGCAAATGAGCCACCATCCCAGAGATAACCAAACTCACTGACAGGAATCAGAAGAGGTCAGTGGGGAGGAGAACCCTTCAACTACAGCTTCAGTGGGTAAAGAGGGTGCTGCCCCTACTTTCCTAAGAGCCTTTGAGCATGGCCTCAAACTGTGCCCAGGAGCTAGCCCTGTAGGTCAACAGGTAATGAGGGGATGGGCCAGTCTGTGGGGAAGAGGGGGCCAGACGAAGAGAAATAGGGAGGGGCCAAAAAGCTCACCTAGTGGAAAGCAGCAGAGAGCCACAATGATGAGGCCATAACCAGGACCACTGCCCTTGAAGTAGTCAAGCACGGTAAGGGGTGCACAGCGGGGCAGGCCCTTGGTTGTGAGCTGCTGGGGCTGCGGGCAAGGTGAGCCTGGGGAAGAGGGCATGAAGACCTCAAAGTCCAAGGGTCATACTCCTTGGGCAGGTCTCCTTCTCCTCTTGGAAAGGACCCAGGTGTCCTCCACCCTCCCCAGGCCCACTTCTTTAAAACTTGTTTCCTCTGAAAGATCCCTTCCACGTCCCATTTCTCTGCATCCAAATAGCTTGACTGCAGGGTGCAGTCCTCCTAGCAGTCCTGTCTACTCTATGGGGACCAGCCTAATATAGACCTCTCAGTCCAACCCTGGACTGCACCGAGTGATTCTCCCCCACAATCTGGATCCTTCTCTGGCTACTTTCACTTGTGTTCTCCAGGGCCACTGACCATTATGCCAGACAAAGACATTGGGCTGTAGGACACTGGGGTCCACGTTGGTGACGGCTACCAGCACATCCCTCAGGGTGGTGTTTCTGATGCCTGCAATCTCTTCCTTGGTGAACAACCTGAGTTGGGGAAAGATGGAGTTGGGTGGGAAGGGAATGCAGGCCTCCAGCAACCCAGGCTCAAGGACCCAGAAAAGAAAATAAACCCGAAGGGAATGGAAATGGTGTGGTAGGCCAACTGGGAATCAAGGGCCTATGGGAGCATTCTAAGGCCAGGCCAACATGGAGTATGAGGTGGGCCCCGGGCAGGCCTTACCCATTCCTAGTGTTCTCAAACCAATAGCGGTCGCCATCCCGTAGCCGCACGAACTGGCTGAGAACGATGTTACTGAACAGAGGTCCAGGGTCCCCATAACTCTCTAGGAGCCCACCCAGGAGTAGCTCTAGCCGAGACAGGTCCTGGTTGTATAGGGCAGCTGTGGCCTGCAACACCTGGAAATAACGTGTGTGTATGTATGTGTGTGTGTGCTATATTGGAAAGGGTAACCACTCTTGCCCCATCCCTCAGACACAGAACCCCAGAAGCTGCCTGCTACTCAGGCCTGGAAAGAGGTTCCTGTTCCTAGGCAGCCCCCATCAGGTGGTCACAGTCTGGTGGGAGGACCAATGTGTCCCTAGCCATGGTAAGACCCTTGTCAGGAACTTGAGGACCATACCATTACTACTCAGACTGCCTGGCCACTATAATTAGCAGTTTCATGGCCACCAACCTAATGAGGTAGGACCCTGAAGGAAAAGGACTATAGTACCCCACGGAGGGGCCATTCTTCCCCAGTGGTACAGGGTAGTAGCAAGGACCATATTCTGGAGTCAAATGGCTGAATTTAAATCATGCCTCTAGAACTCACCATTATAATGGGAACATTGATAGTATAGACATTAAAATATTCTTATGTGGATTAAATGAATAGCTTATATAAAGAATTTGGAACAGTATTGCCACAGGAAAGCTTTAGCTGCTATTATTATTATTACTACTCCTGACCTTAGGGTCCACATTGGGATTGAGGCCACTCCAATTCTTTGGGGCCTCCAATCCCAAGGCTAACAGGGCCTGGGTATAGCTGGGTAGCCCCATGTCTCGGCCACGTTGGATGCTGCTGGCCACATAATCCGTGCGGGAGAATTTGCCAGGGCCAGGCCAATAATCTGAGGAGAGACAAGACCACACACTCAGTTCTCCCAGTCCTTCTTTTCCCTGCAGCCTACATCTGGCTGTTGAACCCTCTCTCCAACCCCAGGCTCCAGCAGTCTCCTATATGAAGTCTGTGTTCATACTAATCTTGACTTGATGTGGGGCCAATGTCACCATGTGTGATCAAGGCAGTTTTTCTGATAAAAGCCTTCCTCTAAGACTCAAGATGTTTCTAGACACGAAATGGAAAATTCCCTGCCCTATTCCTCCCTAACTTCAAGACAGGGCTGGATTAAAACCGTTAGAGACCTAACTAAACACCAAAAGATTGTGGTACCATCCCTGTCCCCATACTCAGATATAATTAATTTAAAATAAAAGCAACCCAAAACTAAGAAAAATGCTCAATGTTTGTTTTCTTCTAATGACTATTTGAAGTCTGCATGTGTATCTATGTTTCTGCCCTATGGCTACTGTAGGTCTACCTGTTGATCCCTAGTCTCCCTGGCCTCTAGCCCCTATCCCTTCTGGATCTGAGCTTACCCCTCAGGTCTTCAATTACTATCCTGTCCTCCAGTTCTGAAATCTGGGACGCCATTCCCAGCAGCAGCTGATTCACCTCCTGGACGCTGTTCAGATTGGGGTTCTGGAAGTAAATAATACACTCAAAATAGACTACAGAGCCCCTTCCCAAAAGTCTTCACCCTGGACCACTGCAGCACTCTAAAGGCCCTTGGTCAGTTGCAGTCAGAGTCTCTGTCTGTCTGTCTCTCTCTCTCTCCCCCCCTCTCTCCCTCCCTCCTTCTCTGAGATAGGTTCTTAATATGTTGCCCAGGATGGCCTTGAACTCCTGGACTCAAGGTGATCCTCCTGCCTCAGCCTCCAAGTAGCTGGGATTACAGGTATATGCCACTGTGCTCAGTACTCCCAGATTCTCTTGAGCAATTATCCCAAAATAATTTTTCTCTGCCCTTCACCTTCCACCAAACTGAAGCAGCAACACCCGAAAACTGAAATTGTTTTTTTTTTCTAAATGGATGAAGATTGTCTCCCACCCACCATACTCTCCTTAACCCCAAGCTGACCTCACGAGTCCAATAGCTGTTGCAGACCCTGAGAGCTGGAGAACTGCCAAAACCATTGTTCACGACCTTCCGAAAATGACAACTGGAATTTCTGAAATGGGGAATCAAGAGCAAGTTAAGGAAATTCAGGTCAGAAGCTAAGATGGGGTTGAATCAGGTGAGTGGACTCAGTGGGGGTTGGCCAGTATGGAAGGATGTCCCATTAACTTCATTGAGCATAGCAAGGATTTGGCAATATATCTTTACTGAAGACAGAATGAGCTCTGTCTGCCCAGGGCTGGGAGGAAGGAGGGTGACCCAACTGCTGGACAAATCCTACACTCAGCAGCCGAAATTCTGTCATTAGGAAAGCTGGGGAGATTTCCCTAAGACCAAACCTCCCACCACAGGGTCCTGTGTCAGGCTCCCAAATTCTGCTTCTCTTCCTCAGTGAAAAGTGGAGGTGTGTGAAAGGTCCCAGGCCCAGAAGACTGCTCATTTAGCACCTCTTGCCAGGGAACTGTGCTGCTCCCAATGCCAATGCTCCCTCACCTCATGTAGACACCAGGGGGCACCATGGTGGAGAAGAACTGCTCAGAGGCCACAACGAACTCAGGGGAGATGCTGGGGTCCGTGAAAGGACGGTATCCTGAAGGAAACCGGTCACAAAGGAGATAGGATCCTTACCCCCTCATCCTCCAACCACATGCCTGTACCTATTTTCTTTTCCCCACAATTCTTCAGCCCAGGTATTCCCCAATTCCTTCACCTGCATACTCCGGGGGCGTTTGCTGCAGGAAACTGGGCAGCCACTCATACAGAGCGATATTCTGAGAGAGGAGAGAGGAGAGGTGCGTTTTGGATCTGGTGGGGCCACCAGAGAGCTGAGCCCAAGGAAAACAGGTGCAGAGCTGAAGACTCAGCAGGGGCAGTCCCTGGAGAGGCAACGCAAACAGGAGAAGTACCTGGCCTGTGCCCCACAAGGAACGAGAAATGGGGGTGGGAGAGTCGGTAAAAATAATCACAAGCAAAATCTCTCCTGTAAGTAGCACTGGGCCTCCTTATCATTGATAGGGGCTTTTACTAGACATTAGCTCCCAAAGAAGAGGAGCCTCCAGGAAAGCAGCATTTCTGGGTGAGGGTGGTCGCAGGGTGAAAAACTGTGCCAGGAAGCAGAATCTCCAGTGGACTTTCACGTGGGTGGGCAGCCGAATGAGAGGTTCTGCTGACCTGGTAGGTGGCGATGACCTTCTTGCGTGCATGCTGGAACAGCTCCTCGTCCCCCCAGTGCGGGTGCTCCTGGGCCAGCCTCTGCGCGCACAAATTGTGGTAGCGGAACCAGAGCAGGCCCAGAGCCTGCAGGAAGGGCTCCCGGTTTCCTCGCTGGGCTCCGAAGGCTGCATAGACATGGGGGGTGCACACCAGGAGACAAGGCGCTAAGTGACCTCAGGGAGCCGAAACTCACAAACCCCGGCCCGCCCTGGCTCCCACCAACCGCGGGCGCCCCGACAGCTCCACCTAGCACCCTTGCGCGGGCCCCCGCAACCTCACCGTACAATCCCTGGGATCCGCGCTGCCCGGTAGCGGGGTCGGGCGCCGTCCACATGAGCAGCGGGTCCTGCGAGTCCCGGGGGAAGGCGGGGTCGGGCCCTGACGCCAGCTGTCCTCCAGAGAAGCTCCTCAGAGCATCGCTCCAGGAATGAGAGGAGCCATAGATGGCGCTGCCGTCCAGCCAGCCGGTCACCTGGTTGGTCTACGGGGGACAGGGTGGACGAGCAAGAATCAGGGAGTAGAGATGAGCAAGGAAAGACCTGAGGGTGACGGAATGGGAGGCTTCCCCTGCCCTAGATCCAGCCATTCAGCTGGCAGCCTGGCTGGCCTCACCAGGTCCCGGGGATTGCTGGGGCTACGCCCGGTCTCCGGGTCCCAGCGGCTCCTCTGGAAGGGTATCACCACGTTCCCCCGCTGGTCTGGATCGAACACGGGGTCTCCGGGCGGGATGTGGATATTGAGGAATTCAGCGGGACAGCCGGGCATTTCCACACTCACCAGGTCTGACAGCACGTGGTAACCTGGGAGCGTGGGGCCAAACAAGTGAGTTAAACTGTACTCTCCCGCCCTACCCACGACCAGGGAGTCCTCCAAGGGTTCTCAGGAGCTAAAAGAATTAAGTCACAAGTCGGAAAGCAAGCTCTGCCGTCAGTTTTGAGGCTTAGCCCTAGGGAGCCTCAATTTTCTAATACGTCAATGAAAATACAGTATCCTTTCCCAATGTTTTTGCGTGAACCAAATGAAATGATTAATATAAGTGATTTCCCAAGTCAGTCCCCACCCTCTAGTGGCAAAGTAGTTATCATCATCTGGGGAGGAAAGCGGTAGCGAAGGACTCAGTTCTTAGAGCTATAATGGGGTCCAATGGTGCTAATGTGTTTAGGGTAGGATTAAAAGAAAGATCAGGGAAACAAGTATCCCTGCATCGTCACCCCGAATACTTCCAAGATGAAGGCAGACTCAAATGTTGCGGGTAGGGTAAGGTGGGAGACAAAGTAGGAATCTCGGGTCTCCTTCCGACTTGTACCGGGGACCTTCTCCCCAGGCAGAGCTCCCGGTTAACCCCAGCGGGTTTTTGTTGGTGTTTGCACTCACCAAAGAATACCCCCAGCACTGTGCGGTTGCGGAGCGATGCCAGGCCGGCTCTGCCCTGTGTTGCTGCGTTGCTTAGCCTGCGCGGGTTGGGCAACAGCGGCTCCTCCAGAGCCTGATATACCCCGTCAGCGTAATTGGCAGGTACTAGACGCTGCAGCCTAGACCCTGCAAAACGCAGGGAACCGGGCTCTGTCAAAACACTCAGACCCCCTTCTACTACAACCATTTTTTTTCCTTTTCTCTCTCTCTCTCTCTCTCTCTCTCTCTCTCTCTCTCTCTCTCTCTCTCTCTCTCTCTCTCTCTCTCCTTTTCTGCCTTTCGCCTCCCTCAAACTTCCACCTGTACTGATAGGATCCCATCTCCCCTGGGTCTCCTGATCCCAGCAGTGCATAAGTGTGGCGCGTGTCCCGCTTCCAACACTGCACTGCTTTTTCTCACAGGGGCTGCTGCGCCCCTGCGCTCCACCCACCTGGGCCCCAGGACTTACCAGCAGCACCACGCTGGTGGTGCCTCAGATTGTTGAACCAACCATCAAAACGCTGCACTTCCCAAGGCAGTGAGGGTGCGTCCTGGCCGCCTGTGGGCACAGAGAGCATTCTCAGCACTAGCTTTCCAGTGACCTCTCCAGGACCCGACTGGCTTGGCCATGTCGCCAAGCTCCCCAACGGGATTCAAGGGGCGATACTTGCGATGTCCTGGGTATCCCATCCAGCTGGCCTGGACAGAGATCTGACTCCATATTCCAGCTACTGGAAGCCGCTTTGCCTGCACTTCTTCCTTCTCACACCCCCCTGGGTAACACCTCGCAGCTAGAGAAACCCGATACTTACTGGCTGGATCCAGGAGTCCCGACAGCAGAGCTCCCAGGAGCACTAGTGCCTCTGGACTTGCTCGGAGCATACTGACCTTGCAGTCTGGGAACGGGAAGTGGTATGTGAGGGACATTCACTCTCCTACAGCAGATACTGTAGAAGTTCCAGCAGTTTCCCCTTCTGGAGCAAAACTTCTAGAAGCATCAAGGAGGACCCTCATTCTTTACAGAATAACTTGCAACTATGAAGGCACTGAAGCTGTTCTTCACTTTTCACCCCATCGAAGAGCTAACCTCGACCTCGGAAACCATCCAGGTGTGAGTCCTCTGGGACATGTTAGTTACAGGCAGAACAACCCAACCTTCCAGAGCCCTAACTCAAAGACTGGAATCCCCTACCCCCAATCTCCCCATACTGCTTCTCCAGAGGTGATAGGGAAGGTAAAGAGGCTAATGAGCTGGGAGCCCAGGAACAATAGCCCACTCACTCCCTCCGCAATGAAGGATGAGAGCTAGAGGGGGTCCAACCTCTTAGTTTAGGGCCCCCGTCGGTGACAGACGTTTTATTTCTTCTTGGAATCTATAGTTCTCTACTCTGTTTCCTGTCTTCAGTCCGTTACTCCAGCGCTCCGGATCTTCAGCCTTCCCCGCGGCACGCTCTTCGCCCTTCTTCAGGGTCCTCAGTCTCGCCTCTGTACGGGTGTCAGCTCCGGCCAGAACCGCAAAAGGTGTGAGTATCTAGACCTGGGGCTCGCCCTCCAGTTGTAGAGGAGGGGCTCGCATAATTTGCATAATGACCTCCGCCCCTCTCATTTGCATGACCTCTTCCCGCAAGGACCCTGCTGCCAGGCTGGCTACGCTGCATCCTGCCCACGCCCCTATAAAAGGGGTCTAGGTGCTGCTCGACTTCCAAGCACAGCGAGAACACCACAGAGCCAGGAAAATAACTTGCCTGTGGGAAATAATTCCGCTCGCTGGATAACCCATGGGCGCTTCAGGACAGCCTGCCTCAGTACTTCCTTAGAGGCGAGCACGGAGCTCAGACCTGACCCTCCTTCTCTGGGGTAATCCGAGCTCTCCTGCCCACCTGCCGGCGTGAAGTTCTGGATCCGCTAGCAAGATGACTTTGTGGAACGATGTACTGCCTTTTTACCCCCAGCCGCGGCATGCCGCCGGCTTCAGCGTCCCGCTGCTCATAGTCATTCTAGTATTCTTGGCCTTGGCCGCCAGCTTCCTGCTCATCTTGCCTGGGATCCGTGGCCACTCGGTAAATAGATGCTGGAAGCTCGGGTCAGGGGTTGAGGTGGGGGTCTGTCGTGGGCATCATTTCTCTTGGAGACAGAGGACAGGTAGAATTGTAAAGGGGTTTCTAAGAATAGTCAAGCTGAAGGTCAGGTGGAGCAAATTCAAAAGTCTGGTGCAGCGCTTCTCAAGAAAGAGAGAGTTCCCTGTCCAAGACATCCTGGAAAAGGACTCCAGCAAGATCATTTGGAAGGGTACTGCAGAGAACGGGCACCCAGTGTGTTAATCCTAGAGTTGATTGTAGGCTTCACAGTCTCCCAGGGACTCCTACCTCTTCTTGGACAGCAGCTGCACTCCTATCCTGTCCTCTGGGTGATGATGTTTGGGCCAAAAGGACAAACACTAGTAGCTCAGACTGTTGTTTCTCCTTTATGTTGGGTTAAGATGTATGTGCATGGGTGCCTCATCCTAAAGACTCAGAAGATACTACACAGGATTCCAATTTGTAGCATTCTGGGGGTATTTCCTTAGTCTCTTCCCTCCCCCAGAACCCAGGTTGTACATTTTTCCAAGTCTAGAAGGTCCCAGTCTTTCTTTGTCTGGATCTTTGGTGGTTTCTCAGGGAACTGGCAGACCTAGGAATATCTTTATTTCCACCTCCTCTACTTGGCCTCTATGCCCTGGGGCCTCCCACTTCTGGAAGAGGTGACCCCTGCCTGCCTAGTACTTCTGGACTCACTGAGCCTTACCATGCAGTGATTGGAGTAGGAAGTGGGCAGGGACCAGACTCCAGAGAGCTAGGGGAGTGAAGGTGACTGAAGAGTGTGGGGCAAGTTGGACCCGGAAATGGAGCTGGGGAGGTGGAAGCATATGGCCAAAAAACATCAGAAGTATCAGTGGCCCAGAGGGACTTGAAGGAAAGGCATGTTTGACATCAACCTCAAAAGGTCAAGAATGTAATTAAGATTAAGGTGGAGTGAGGTCAAGGGAGGTCCTGGGGATTGGTAAGGTAGTGTGTTGAGAGCCACAGCCGAAGGGGCCCAGCACGCTTCCCAGTAGTGCCCAAGCCTGACCTGAATGTCTGTTTCTGCAGCGCTGGTTCTGGTTGGTGAGAGTTCTTCTCAGTCTGTTCATAGGTGCAGAAATTGTGGGTGAGTGTGTGGTGCAGCCCATGAGGGGAGAAACTGGTGTAAGGAAGGAGGTGGGCAGAGGGCATCTGGGAAAATGGGGAATGGGTTGGTTTTTTGCTCCCTCTTCCCATTTTCCAGCTCTTTCTAATGCCCACTCTTTTGCCCTCACCATGCAACCCCATTAGACCTCTTGACCCACAGTCTGCAGAGTCTCACCTCCCATCGCCTCTCCTATTTCCTCTTTTCAGCTTTTCCCTCCCCTACCCTGTCTCCCCACAGCTGTGCACTTCAGTGGAGAATGGTTCGTTGGTAGAGTCTGGACCAACACATCCTACAAAGCCTTCAGTGTGGCCCGTGTTCAAGCCCATGTTGGTCTGCACGTGGGCCTCGTGGGCATTAATATTACACTCACAGGTGAAGAGGCTGGGGCAAAGTGAACTGTTGGGGCTGGGAGATAACCATGGTTGGGGGTGTGTGCCAGGGGTAGATGGAAGGACGTCTCAACGTCTCTCAGGCTGGGAAAGCAATTGGTCTTCATGGGTTTGAATTTTCCCAACCATCCTAAACCCATTTCTACCAGCCACAGGCGCCCCGCCCCTACTTCCCTATCTGAATCTTTTAGTTTCCTGGTTCCTGGTCTTACACATTCCCATAACCCTACTGCTTCCCACAGGGACCCCAGTGCAGCAGCTAAATGAGACCATTGACTACAATGAGCAGTTCACCTGGCGTCTGGACGAAGACTACACCAAGGAGTACGTGGACGCGCTGGAGAAGGGGCTGCCAGACCCAGTGCTATACCTGGCGGAGAAGTTTACACCGAGCAGCCCTTGCGGACTGTACCACCAGTACCACCTGGCAGGACACTATGCTGCAGCTACGCTCTGGTGAGCGCTGGAACTAAAGTAGTGAGTAGGGCGAGGTGGGGTGAGGTGGGGGTGCACGCGAAGAGAAGGATGGAGGCCTCCAAGGCATGTTCGGAACTGGAGATACAGCCTTGCGAATCAGAAACTCTTCGGGTCCGCACAAACCGTGAGAATGTGGAGAGGCTCAGCCAAGGCCCAGAGCTTGGGAACCCGCCCTATCCCGGGGATTCCCCGCAACTCTGCCTTCCAGGGCCCGAGCTTTCCCTCCGACGCGGGGCACAAGGAAAATCCCGCTCACTGCCTGGCCTCCCTGCTCCCCTGCAGGGTAGCGTTCTGCTTCTGGATCCTCTCCAACGTGTTGCTCTCCATGCCTGCCCCACTTTACGGAGGTCTGGCGCTTCTGACCACCGGCGCCTTCACGCTCTTCGCTATCTTCGCCTTCGCTTCGGTCTCCAGCGTGCCACTCTGCCGGTTCCGCCTGGGCTCCTCTACGCTTATGCCTCACTATGGCGCCGCCTTTTGGGTCACGCTGGCAACCGGTGAGAATTAAGGGGAACTGCGCAGGGCGACTGGGAGTTGGACCAGATTGATGCTGGGTGGTGCTTTCCAGTTTACAAAATGAGTTCACAGGTATTATGTAATTTGCTCCTCCGAGTGGTTCTCAGAGACAGGCACTGTTATGGCTATTTTATAGATGAGAATAGGGAATGAAGAGTTCAGTATCTTGCATGAGAACCCCTGAATTGTGTAATCCGTATTAGAAGTCTTCCTGCGGTTGTAAATGTGAATGTGTGAGTGTGAGTATGTGTGTGTGTGTGTGTGTGTGTGTGCGCTCGCGCGCGCGTTTGTGTTTGCAGCTCAACGGTTGGGCCCCCAAAGATGGACTGAGGCGGCCAGTTCTGGCCTGGAGCACTGACCATCCCCCCCACCATCCCCTCCCCCCGCGTCTGCATCTTGCAGGCATCCTGTGCCTCCTCCTCGGAGGGGCGGTGGTGATTCTCCACTACGCTGGGCCCAACGCTCTTCGCATCTTTCTGGACCAAAGCGTCAGGGACTGCAGTGGACAGGAGAAAAGGCGCTCACCTCTCGTCCTCAACAATCCACTGCACAAGCAGTTCGGGGCCCCAAACTTAAGTATCACTACTAATCTATAAAAGGAACTCGACTCCAGACTCCTAACCCACCTTGGCACCTTGCGGGGGGGAGGGGGCGGGGGTAGTGCCCACCGGGTGTGGGACTTGAGCTGTGGTGCCGAGAAAGAAGAGCGGCCTTGGACATGCCGCACGCACGAGGAAAGAAGTCTCCGAATGAGCTGTAAATAAACTGTTTTTTAAGAAAAGAAAAGAAAAAAAAACCTCTTTCTTCACTAATTTGCATGATTTCTCTGTGCTCTTAGAGAACAAGCCCTCAGGAGGCTTTGCTGGGCTGGAGACAGCTTAGTACTGTGCATTCTGAGTTGCTGCGAAACCGGATTCTCTCCAGCTGGAGAAACCACAGTAACCCAGGCTAGGCTTTGGGAGAGGGGCGCCCTCTAGTGCAGGCCGAACGGGAACCGACCTGCACCAGCGTTGTCCTGAGCCGCCCAAGGTGGGTGGGTAGGTCTGAGTAATTAGGCAGGTCATGCTCCTACCTGGAATCCCCTTTGCTTCCCACCTAGACTGGGAGGGAATAGGAGTTTGGAGTTTCTTCACTAACTCTTACCATTGATTTCTTTTGGGGTAGTATCTGAGGGCCAAAGTAAGTGCCAGCAAAGCAAAAAATATAAATCCTGGGACTGTTTTTTTTTTTTTTTTTTTTTTAATTTTTATTTTTTACTTTTAGTTGTAGTAGGACACAATACCTTTATTTTATTTATTTATTTTTATGTGGTGCTGAGAATCTAACCCAGCACCTCACACGAAGCCACAACCCCAGTCCCCTGGGACTGTTTTTTTTAAGGTCCTTGGTAAACCCTACAATCTCACTTAGCATATTTGAGAACTGAAGCTCAAAAAGAAAGTGGCACAGCTGGTTAATATTAGAAGTGGGATAAGATGTTTGGCCTCTTCTTTCCAATACAGATCAAGGGGCCACACAAGCCAGGAAAGTAAAAGAAGAACAAAGGGGGCCCAGAAAAAAAAAAAGAGGAACCAAGAGTGAAGGGGTCCCTAGGAGAATGACACTATAACTCCTGTCCCTCCCCACACATTCCTTATGAGTGACGTTGGGTTGCAATTAATGGCACCTTCACGAGGCAAATCATCCAGGAAAGGCTGAGCAGAAATAGGAGCTGCCCCTGATTGGTCTTACATGGCAATAGTGTTTATGGGCCCAACATCTCTTCAGCACCTTAAGACTTTTTTGTTTCATTTTTTTTAAAAAATCAATAGGTACAGGCATCCTTTCCCACTCCACCTGCAGATGGGAGCTGGGGACCTGACAGAACCCACCCTGACAACAGTTCTGTGATTTTGTGGGGCACCAATGAGGTCTGGAGCCAGGTTGGAAATCCAGGTGGCCCCCAGGGAAGAGGAGACTTATAAGGCACAGTTAGTCTCTTCAGGGTGCTCCTCCTTACAGCATGCCTCAGAGGAAGCCTCTGACAGAGGAATGTCCTGGGGCTCAGGACTCTCTGCCATGGACCTGTATCGGGGGCTCAGGAGCCCTCCTTCCTCAGGACTCCACTCCAGCATATGGTCCTCCTCTGCACTCTGGTTGAAGAAAACCTTCAGCCTGTGGGGCTGCATCCTGTGAGCCACTGCCATGACCAGGCCCAGCAGCACACACAGCAGTCCTGAGGGTGAGAGCAACAGATGTCTTGCCTTAGTGCTAGTAACACCCTCCCAAGGACATCTTCTCCCAGAAACATCAAACAACTCGAAAGAGGCCCAGAGCCCTCCTTAAGGGCAACGTGGGCTCACAGGGGTTACATGGCTTAGGGTCTTATGGATATTGTGAGTCTGTTGTCCTGACTTTCCAGACTCCAAGTCCAGTGCTCTTTTAGTTGTATTCCAAGAAGGAGAGAGAGAGATAGAGAGAGATAGAGAGAGAGAGAGAGAGAGAGAGAGAGAGAGAGAGAGAGAGAGAGAGAAGAGACAGGAGGAAATAAAACTGCATGACAGAACAATTTAGGGTTGTGTGAAACAGGGACATACAAGTATTCTAAGATTGGGGACATAGAAAAGTGTGTTTGGGGAAAAGTAGAGGGTGGTTGGAAGATTTGCAAAAGAGAGAGAGAGAGTTAGGGGATGAGCAACATGACAGATACAGAAGATACAGGGAAGGGAGCATATGTAAGGAGGGAGAGGAAGTGGCATTGAGGAAAGCAACGCAAGAGATGAGAGATATAATAGGGATAAGAATTAAAGAGGGCAAGAGCATCTTGGCCCCTAGAAAAGGACCCTCAAATCCATCAACATTATGGTCCCTGGCTCCCTCCTGGGCCCTTCACTGTCTGTCTTGGGGTGGGGAGTCTTACCTGTGGTCAGTGTGATCCAGAATGCAGGCCCGTGGTGAGTATGCAGCACAGCAGTGCCCAGGTGCATGGGACAAGGTGGGGTGAGTGATGTGACCGTAGAGAAGAAGAGCAGGGCCAACAGCTGGAAGATGCCTGTGGCCAGCAGCATGTGCCCACCATATACCAGCACAGGCATGGACAGCATCACATTGGTCAGTAGCCAGCAGAGGAATGCCACCCTGGAAAGCCAGGACCCACTGAAGACTGGCTCAGGTACCTCCACTTGGTGGCAAGGCCGGAGGGAACAAGGTGGAGGCCAAGGGACCCAAAGATACCCCAAATATGTGAAGCAGGAATTCCTGCCCATGAGTTTCCCAACCAGGCACCAGGGTGACAGAAGTCAGCCCATCCCATGTGGGATATGAATGGAGAAGAGATGGGTAGAAACCTTATTTCTGGGTCCCTACTAAGCCAGTAGGGACCCCATCCCATCCCCTTCCCATGCTCACCACAGCATGGCTGAAGCATAGTGTCCTGCCAGGCGGTACCGGTGGTACAGGCCACATGGGCTGCGAGGAGTGAACTTCTCAGCAAGGTAGAGCACAGGATCTGGCAGCCCCCTCTCCAGTGCCTTTGCATACTCCTCAGCATAGTTCTCACCCAAGCGCCAGGTGAACTTCTCATTATAATTGATGGTCTCATTCAGTTGCTGCACTGGGGTCCCTATGGAATAAGGCAGCTGTGCTCAGCAGGGACTCAAGATCTCAAGTAGGGAACTTGCCTGGGTGTGTGCAGCTGTGTGCAGCTCACCCTCACTTGGCAGAAGGCCACAGGAGCTGATCTCAACCGAGAGAAGTCAGCTCTGAATCCACCATACCCCAGCACCCAATACCCTCCTAAACCCTGTGCCAGGCATGCTATAGTTCTTTGGACCATACCAAAATAGATCCATGTCAAAGGTACAGAGCATATCCTTCTCCCTCCTTCCCATGTAAGAGCCCTCCCTCACCTGTGAGTGTGATGTTGACTCCTCCTAGCCCGACTTGCAGCCCAATGTCAGCGCTGATCCACTCGGGACTGAAGGCTTTGTATGTTATGTTGGTGCTGACCTGGCCTACAGACCACTCAGAACTGAAAGTCACAGCTGGGGTTGGGGAGTTGGATATATGAAAACTCAGGGAAGTCTGGGCATTATTGGGTTCATCAAAACGAGAGCTACATGTCTCTATTGGTCACAGTTGTATGCCTATTAACTAGCCTGGGATCTGGTTCATAGTTAGCCTGCCAACCACTGATGTAGGATGAATAAGTGGGTCAGAAAATAAATGGGTCAGAATCTAAGACTTCCCTTGCTCAAATTCTGCTCTTCCCCACCTGCATTTAAAGACAGTTACTCAGGCAGCGGAAGGAGGAAGCATTAACCTAAACCATGACAGGCAGACACAGATAACTTTAACATAGAAACTTTTTGCCTAATCACCAAAGGTAAGCAAGCAGCCCTCCCCTGTTTTCTTTGGACCTGTCCCTTGAGGCTTTCTGCCTATGTTCATTATAACTGGGAAAAAAAAAGTTGAGGACACACATCCTGCAGGGTTTCCTGGCTGGCACCTCAGTGGGCAAGGGTAAGAGGAAGATTAAGGGGATGAGGCCATGGTGAGAGAGGGGGTGTGGGCAGGGTCTGGAGGCCTCTGTGGAGAAACAAGGAGAGGAGAAGCAGGCTGCTAAGGGCACTTCACAGGATGAAGGCAGCTGCCCAAGTCAGCGGTCCTTGGCACTCACCCAGGATCACAGCCCCGATGAATAAGCTGGTCACCACCCGCAGCAGCCAGAACAGCCTCTGAGTCACAGGGTGGGTGGGTTTAGTAAGCAGTGCCCTCCTTCCAAGTCCACCCTTCCTCTGTGCACACTTGGGGAGGGCAGGGATTCTACAACTGAGGCCACTTGGTCAATTGGGACCAGAGCATCTGATACATAATAGGTCTGAGTCTGGATTTTGACCCTCTGGATCCCTTATTCTGAAGGTGAGGTCTCTCTGGGGCAGGGTCTCCAGGTCTGTAATTTTTTCTTACCGTCTTGCCCCGAATGCCAGGCAGGATGATGATAAAGGTGACTAGTGCAGTCAGAAAGATAGTGATGATGACTGCCAGGGCGGTGTCCATTGGGAAGGTTGGCTTGGGGTCAGCATAGAAGGGGAATACGTGTCCAAACACAGCCATTGTGGTGGGGGTTAGTGGAGAAGCCAATGCTGTACAAAAACAGTGGACATTTACTGAGTGCTCTCTATGTACCAGCATTATTCTTGATGCTGGAGATGAAGCAAGGAATAAACCAGATCAGATCTCTCTTCTTTCAAGGTTACCTTTTAGTGCCTTAGCAGTCTCCACCATGTACTGACATTCTATTACCCCTCAGCCATCCATCTCCCCATCTTTTGGCTGTGACAGAATTAGGCCACTGGCAATCAGTCTCTGCTGCCCCATGCTGCCTTCCTAATCCCTTGGTCCCCTAAATCAATGTCACCATTACTCTTGAGGCTTCTCTATTTCTTCTGGGACTGTCTTAAGAAATATAATTCTCCTTTATTTCCCTCAGGCCTCTAGCACAAGCTTAAAGATCACAGAGCATAAAAAGAGCCATATTTACTATCAAGTGATGGCATAAGGGTAAAAGATGATACAGATTACAAAAAAGAAAAAAAAAAAGATTTGCTTTGGACCCCAAAGGAACAAAGGCCAAACAGTTCTGC